TGTAATTTTATTTCAAGGTGATTACGAAAGAGGTCAAGTAACTTTTAGTGTGATCATTGGCCATTTGATCTCCTCTTTTGTAAAGTGCCTCATCAACTTTCTAGCCACGTGATTCCTTTTTGCTGTTGTGGTAAAGGAGAAATGGAATTTAGAGCATAACCCTCCAGTTCTATTCATAAAACCATTCTGCATCCTCAAGTCACAAAATTGAGATTTTCTTTAATGTTCTATGAGACTTCTTTCTTTTTGTACTCTTCTATAAAAATAAGCATCATTAAGCATCGGACTCTTGGTTTTGGCTCAGGTCATGACCTCAGGATCCTTGAGCCCTGCATCAGGCTCCACGCTCTGCAGGGAGTCTGCTTGTCCTTCTGCCTCTGTCCCCCTAATCGGGCTCTGTCCCCCCTACTCGAGCTCACACTCTCTCTTTCAAATAAATAAAATCTTTAAAAAAAAGAGAGAAGCAGCTTCTACCTGTTTATCACAGAATGGCAGTTTTAGTGAGCTTGCAACACCACAAACACACACACACACACGCATGCACGCACAGAGTTAAGAACACGTAGGGGTATTGGACAGTGCAAAGAAATAGGCAACAAGTACAAAAGTCCCTAGCAAATATTTTTTAAAACAGTAATCATAAATACCAACAGACTATTAGGATGTTATTTATAGGTTAATAATCTCTGCATGAGGCTATTTCACTCACAGCCTCCGTGATGAGTGTATTAGGCCTGCGTATTGAATGTTAAGATCAAAATATGCTTTTCTTTAGCTGATATAACTTCCAAAATTAATCACTCATACAGTCGGTGACTCATACAATCCATTCCAGTCTGCTCTGCTACTTGTTAGGAGATTTTTATTTAATTTAAGCATTTTCATTATTTTAGATTTTTATTGTGCACTGTTCAGTTCTGAGTCTTGGGCAATTGTTATAATAAGGTTACTAGTCGGAGGCTGCAGATAAAGAACAGCAATTCAATAATTAAAAGGCAACCAAGAGTGCAATCTGTCAAATAGAAAAAAAAAAAACCCCACAGATCTGAAAGTGCATGAAGATGAGCTGAAAGCCAAAACTATTAATGTAAAATATGATTATTTCCAGAGGTGAACCAATATGTGTGGCAGCTCCCGTGTTACAGAGGGGATTTTGTAAGATAATCAGACCAGCGGTGTTAGCAGGACAGTCCTGAGTTTCATCTTTCCCCAAGTCTTAGATGATCTCTCAGAATTCCCTTTTAAAACCCACTTGCAGGGTTTTATTAGACCAGGTTCTACTTCTTCCTCTTCCTATTTATTCCTGTCCTTACCTACTACCACTCCTACCTTCCCTATGGTTTTCTGTGCTCAGTAAGAGTAAGATTTTTGAGGATAAGGATCTGGTTTTTTCTTTTTTGTGCCTCTTTCTAAATGTCTCTTGGAATTGCCCACTCGCCTCTGCTTTCCTCACCCTAGTTCAAGCCACAGTGTCCTACTTTGCCTCCTGTGGACTGCTGGTCTCTCCACATCCATCCTGGCCTCACCCCACCCCACCTTACCTCCTCTGCACAGCAGCTGGGGGAATCTTGTTGCCACACAAAGATGTTCCTGTCATTCCTGCACTTAAAATGGATTGCCCTTACTTCAAACTCCTTGACATGGCCTGAAAGGCCCTACCTGGTCAGCCTCTGGCCTGCCTCACCAGCCTCTTCTAGAACTACTCTCCCTCTTCCTCTCTGTGCACCACCTTTCAAATCCAAAACCACACTGTGCTCCTTACTGCCCCAGGGCCTTTGCACATGCTGTTCCTTCTGAGTGTGGAAAGCTTTCTACCAGCCTCTAACCCCTTCCGCCTGGCCAGTGGCCACCACTCCTTCCGGCCTCAACCTAAATATCACATCCTCAGACCGTCCCTCCAAGTTGTCCCAGACTAGGTCAGGTCATGTTACTGTTTGTTCTCAGCAACCTTTATGTGCCCTTCCTAGTACTTACACAGTTGTGAATTTTTAATTGCATAAATCACTTCTGCCTTCACTTTCCTGAGTGCCCACAATATGCCTTTGTGAGATTGTTAACGGCTGCCATAAAAAATATCACAGACTGGGGGGCTTCCACAACAGAAATGATCTTCCCACAGTTCTGGAGGCTTGGAGTTAGAAATTAAGATGCTGGCAGCTTTGGTTTCTTCTGAGGCCTCTCTCCTTTGTAGATGACCACCTTCTTTCTCTGTCCCCACTCTCTGTCCCCTCTTTTGTTTTTCTAATGTATTGCTCAAGTGTCTAAGTGATTACTTAGCTGAAAGTAGATGCCTCTCTTGGGAATTTTCACTCTCCTCCTCCACCACGTCAAGGAATTCTGGAGGTTTGCACGGTCTCCAGAGGAGTTAGTATGGTTTCCATACCCCAGAGAGCAAATGAGGGTGTCATCTGACTTTTACTGCTATTAACTCTGACTACCACAAGGTGTCGCTGTTGGCAAACTTGCTCTGCGCGGTCCGCCCGTGGATGCTGATTTGCTCTGGGACCATGATGCCTCCCAGAAGGCTCACCTCCCATCCCAAGCTGCTATGGCTGTTTAAGGAGAGCAATCCCATATCCTCAGGGTTATATTCTATAAAAATGCCCCCAGCTTCTTCTAGCGCATCTCTGCTTTCATTCTTGTTCTAATGGATTATCCTTAAAGTGGAGAGGAAGCCAAGATTTCAAAAGACACTGGAGAAAAGAATTGGTATGAAAAAAGTTAAAGATGCTGTTTTACACATGAAATCCTTGTATTACATCGTGTCAAATAGCCATAGACTGAAATCTTGAACTGTAATTTAGTGTATATCTCTATCAAATTGAACTCCAAAACCTTGGGAGAGAGAAGAATAATCACTGGAGAGGGCAGAGGACTGATATCAATTCCTTGCTTGCAAGTACTTAGGATATAGAGAAAAGCAGTCTGGATCTGGAACAAGAAGATATGGGTTCAAGTCCTTGCTCTGCTGTTTAGTTAGCTGCATGAACCTGAGAAGTCACTTAATTCCCTTGCCCTTCATGCCCATATCTATAAACTTGGGACAATGCCAGTCCTTTACATCTTACAGTGCTCTTGTGAGAATCAAGTGGATTGATCTGAAAACTGCAAAGCACTATGTAAATATGAGGTCTTTCCAAACAGACTTAAAAAAATTAGCAGGCTGGTTTTTTGGGAGCAGTTTTAGGCTGACAGCAAATTTGCTCAGAAAGTACAAGGAGTTCCCGTATACCCTGACTCCCTCTGCAGTTTCCCCCACTGCTAACGTCTTGAATCAATTAGTTACAACTGATATGTCAATACTGATGTATTACTAGTAACTAAAGTCTATTGTTTACATTAGGGTTTATTCTTGGGTTGTATGTTGTATGGGTTTTGACAATTGTGGCTATGACATGTATCCACTGTTAGATTATCAGACAGAATAGTTCTACTGCCCTAAAACTCGCCTCTGCTCTACGTGTGCATCTCTTCCTCCCTCTCCTCCAGCCCCTGATGACCACTGATCTTTTTACCATCTCCATAGCTTTGTCTTTTCCAGATGTCATAGGGTTGGAATCATAGAGTATGTAGCCTTTCCAGATTGGCTGGTTTCCCTTTGTAATATGCATATAAAGTTCTTCCATGTTTTTCCAGTGAGAGCTTGATAGCTCCTTTCTTTTTATTGCTGAATACTTACTCTCCCATTATGAATGAATTCCCGATAGACTTTTTTTAAAAAAAAGACTTATTTTTTAGAGCAGTTTTATTAGGCTTGCAATAAAATTGAGAGGAAGGTACAGAGATTTCCAATATACTCCCTGCCCCTACACATGCAGAGCCTCCCCCATTATCAAGGCCACTCACCAGAATGGTTCGTTTGTTACAACTGATAAACCTATATTGATACATTATAATCACCCAACGTCTATAGTTTACACTGGGGTTCACTTTTGGTGTATATCCTATGGGTTTGGACAAATGTATATCTATCAAAGGTATTTCTATCATTCATCTCATACAGAGTATGTTCACTTCCCTAGGCTTTTTATTTAAAACAACCAAAGACTACATTGTAATAGAGTTAAACTAAAATAAATATCAGTAGCTCCATTAAAGGGAAAAAGAAGGTGCTAAGGTCAGCTTGATATGGGGGTGGGCGGGCAGAGAAGTTACATGGACTTCACGCAGATAGTGTGTGCTGGAGGAGGTGTTATGGGCCAGTTGTAAGTATAAGAACCACAATATTTCCGCCTCTGCTCCCTCCTGGAAAGACAGCTCAGCTGCCAGCAACCTGGTCCTCTCAGTGCAGGACCTGAGCAGTCACCCTCATGCACGATACCTGGGTTTGGTGCTGATGGCAGACTAAGAAAAAAAAAAAAAATCTCATGTCCAGGATCTCTCAAACTACCTCACTCCTGGCTGTATGCCTGATATGTAAGAGCATGCAATAAATGCTTGAATGAATGAGTGGCTGAAGAAACAGGATAGGCCCCAGATCTGGGAACTGAGGGAAGGTTCTGGGAGGAGGCAGAACCATCTGGTCATGAATGATTTTGTGATAAACCCCTGGAGATACTATTGCCAAGCCCAAGACCCCCTGTACAAACTGCTGAGCACTGCAGAGGAACTGTTTGCATTAGATTCAAGCCAAGATATCCCCAAGATCCCTGACAAAAAAGGAAATAGGAGCCTGGTGCCAGCCAATAGACCCAGAGGAAATTAACACTTGTGCGGCTTTATCCCTGGTCTCCTTCTACAGCCGGATCTTCAGCGCCACCCAGTGGTGCTCCCTTGGGGCTCACTGCCCTGCCAAAGCACCCAACGGGGCTTCATGCCCTCCTTTAAAGCTGGTAGGATTAAAGCCTTCCTCTTAAGGTTCAAGATAAGAGACTATGTGGAAGTAAGGAATAAATCGAGAGCTTTAGATTTAATGTCAGAGAATTTTAAGTCACAGAACTTAATCTCAGCAATTACACAATTAGTAGCAGGATTTTGTATCCATGCTTATCATTCTGCAGTTTGGGAAACGGAGCAGTTTTTGGACAATGTGAGGCCAAGATCAAAGGTTAAAGCCGTGCAAAGGAAATGCAGAACTGAGAGGTGGAAAAGAGAATCGGATCCAGCCCCTGACTCCAGACAGCAGACGTGTCATTGCCATTTCACAATTAAAGCGGAAAGGCTTTGTTAAATGCCCAAGGTCAAATGTCCAATAAAAGAGGCAAGGACCCTGATTGGGTGGAGTGTCCTTTTTCTTTTCCTATGCTGCTTCAAAGTGCCCTCTTTCCTTTGATATTTTGCTGTTTTGCTACAATTGCTCTGATATTCTCCTACAAACGGGTCAGTCTTTATTCTATTTTATACTCACAAACTGTTCTCCTAAAGGCTTGGGTTACTCTGTCCCTCACGCAGAAGCTAGAATTCCTGACATTTCTTATAATGTAGATGACATTTTTACATCTGTTATATACACTAAACATCTTATATATAATGTCAATCCATATCCCTTTTATTGGTTATAAAATGTTTGGTTCATTGCTATATGTAACATTTAAAATCTAATTAATGTAATTCACAATGGATTTTTAAATCTGCATTTTCTTTAAGAGCATGTGGTTTGGAATTGAAAGAACACACATGTATTTGGCATTAGATACTGAGTCGGTGATAGCACATTCAATAACCCATTTTATCTTCATGACTAGCCCTATAGGTAAGTTAGAGAATTATCTTTATATGGACAATGAGACAGAGATTCAGACATCTTAAATAAGCACTCACAGTGGCATAACAACCAGACAGAGGAGCTGGACATTGAACCTGAGTTTCCTGTCTTGAAGGCTGTAGTAGTATTTCTACCAAACCTCTTGACTCTACCAGAATTGAAACCAAGAAGTGAAGTTTTATTCCCCACTTAAACAACACATAAAACACTATCTCCTATATCACCCTTGGGAAATTTGCATGCTCATTGGTCTGTCAGAGGTTCTATTGAATTCTAATATAGACACATGGTTAGCCTAGTGATTCCCAAGCTCATGGCATCATTGTTTTGTTGTTGTTGTTTGGTATGTGTGTGTAACTATTAACTTCCTTCTGAAATAGAGCTCTATAAACACACCATGAGCAGCGCAGGCTAGAGACTCTGACTGGGGAGATATGGACTTGAGAGGTAGTTGCCAACTGAAGGAGGATTCAGTCTTTCAAGGTAGGTTCTGGGTTTATTTGCCAAAAACAGCTTAAGGCATAATTTTATTTTAAAATTCTTGTTTGTGACCTTCTTTGTTCAAGAAAGAATGTAGGAAAGCAGGAGCTCAGTGGCATGGTGATGATCTCCATGGTTCTCCATGAAGATATAAAATTATCTATGCTGTGGTATCATTTCAGCTCCTTTCTGTGGCATCTGTGACATCTTCCACCTTGTCTTGTACCTCTGTTGGTCTCTCTTAACCTGCCCACCTCCACACGCACTGGGCTTCAAAGTGACCTCTGACAGCCATTCTCATTTTCTCAGCGTTTTGTCAGTTTAATGTTGGGGGGAAAATCTGATCAAATTCACAATGATTATATTATCAGTCCTTAGTGCTTCAGGAGTATTTGCAATTGGAATAAATAAATCTCTAACTGGAAAATTTCAATTGGCTTTGGAGAGATCTGAGGAAAAGGGTATCAAAGATTGTCTGTCTCTCTAACCCCAAACCTGCTTATTCTGTTTTCCCATGTCATTCAGCGCCTGCCAGTGGATTCAGTGCTACCCAGACTGGGCTCTCATCCCAGTCCCAAATCTAGGACAGGAGGCACAGATGAATAGATGCAGAAAAAGCATTTGAAAAAAATGCAACAACTATTCATGACAAAAACTCTCATAAAACTAGGAAATGCAGGGGATGCTTTTAAACTGATGAAGGGCATCTATGATCAACTTTAGGTATGATCATTCTTTTTATTTTTCCTTTTTTTTCTTTAAGTAAGGTTTATCCACAACATGGGGCTCAGACCTAATGGCCTCAAGATCAAGAGTCGCATTCTCTACTGACTGAGCCAGCCAGGCAACCCTATGATCATTCTTTTTTTTTTAATATTTTATTTATTTATTTATTTGAGAGAGAGAATGAGATAGAGCACGAGAGAGGGGAGGGTCAGAGGGAGAAGCGGACTCCCAGCTCAGCAGGGAGCCCAATGCGGGACTCGATTCCAGGACCCTGGGATCATGACCTGAGCCTAAGGCAGACGCTTAACGACTGAATCACCCAGGCGCCCCTGAGCAAAATATTTAAATAGGTGCTTCACTTGAAAAGATATATAATAGACAATTGGATCCAGTAGGATGTCTACAATTTAAAACTGACATACCAAATGTTGTTGAGTACGTGGAGCCACTGGACCTCTCATACACTGCTGGTGGGAATGTGAGATGGTACAACCACTTTGGAAAATAATTTGGTAACTTCTTAAAAAATTAAATTATACTTATCATACAACTCAGCTATTCCATTTCTATGCATTTACCCTTGAGAAATGAAAACATAAACAATAGTCTACACAAAGACTTGCATACAAATGTTAAATGCAGCTTTATTCATAATAACCCAAACTTTAAAATGACCCAAACATCTGTCAATGGGTGAGTGGATAAACAAATCACAATAGACCCCGAGAGTTGGCTACCACCAGCAGGAAGGGAATAAACTGCTTAGACACCCAACAATGTGGATGAATCTTAAAGACACTATGTTGAGAGAAAGAAACCAGGGACAGAAGGTGACTACTGGGTAATTCCATTTGTATGAAACTCTAAAAGAGAGAGATGTCATTTACAGTGGCAGAAAGCAGAGTCGTGGCTGCTTGCTGCTGGGGTGGATTAGGGGCATGAGAAAGTTGGCTAGGAAGGGTGAGAAGACACTGGGGTGGTGATGGAAACGTTCTATATTTCCATCATGGCCAGTACAGGAGTATGCACAGTCATCAAAAGTCACCAATCTGTACACTTAAAATGGGTGCATTTTGTCATTGGTAAATTATATGTAGCAGGAAATTGGAAGATCAGAAGGAGTAGGTTTTGGTATATTTCTATGTTGAAGTGGATGGGTTTTGAGTAGGTGTATATGCTAAGAGGGAAGGACAGTGGAGATGGAGGCAGAAAATACTGCAGAGAGAAGATTGCTGATGAGGCACTTTTCTCAAAGAGGAGGAAGAGGTGCTGTGCAAAGCATAGGTGGGTGCAAGAGCCTTGGATGGGAAGAGGGAACATTCTCTCCCAGAGCTTATGGTGGAGGAGGGTGGTGTGTGGTATTGTTTGAGTAAATATGCCTGTAATTTAGTATGCGGGATGGCAGAGAATGGAGGAAGTTCATGTTTCATTCAATCCTTAATATGTATTTTATGCCAGGTAATATTATATATATATATTTTTTTTATGCCAGGTAATATATACATATTACCGTGGATGTGGGTACTCCGCAGGAAAAAGAAGAATGTTGTCACTGCCTTACAGAATTTAGAACACTGTGGTGGGAAGAAGGGTCAGGCATTAAATAACCACACAACTAAATATATAATTGCAGATTATTATGAATTCCATAAAGGACCCGGGAGCTATGGGTGAGTGTAGCAGGAGGAACCTGATTTAGACAGATGATGCAGGGGAGGTCTGTTGGGTGAAGTAACCATTAGGCTTGGGGGAGGAGAATGAGTGGGAACAAGGTGATGAGGGGCTGCAGTGGAGACCTTGAAGTTGGAAAGATTTTGGTACATTTTGATTCAGAAACATAGTTATGGGTGAATTTTTTTATTTTATAAGAAATAAGAAAATGAAACCATAGAAAATGAATATGTATGTGAATTTCTAATCATTAGAGGGCTCTCTAGGACTAAGATTCATCCACATAAAGTTCAAAGTTTTTGTTTTGTTTTTCACATCAAAGATATCATAAACCAAAGATATCATAAACCAAGCACAAAGGCAAATAAACGAGGAAAATGTTTGCAACAAACAAATCAAAGGATTACCATCCAAAATCCATAAAGAGCATGTATCAAACTGATGAGAAAAGCATTAAAATTTCAGTAGAATCCAGTTACTATAATATCTTTCTAAAATGTGATATTTTGATCATTTAGATAAAGTTAGAGAATTTTAAAAATAAAAAGCATAGAAGACATGTTGGGAAAATATAAAAATATAAGTAAAACACATAGCAAATATTTTATGGAAGAGAAAATAAAAATGGCCTGATGACTTAAAAAGCATTTTTTACTCATAATCAAAGAAATATTTGAAAAAACATGAAATGCCATTTTCCCAACAATTAAATAAGTAGAAATTGGGGGAAAACATTAATCATGGTGAAAGTGCTATTCCAAACAGATAATGGGAATATAAATTGGCTATGTTTTTATTTTATTTTAAAGATTTTATTTATTTAATAAAATAATAAATGGGGAGTGGGGACCCGAGAGAGGAAGAGGGAGAGAATCTCAAGCAGACTCCCTGCTGAGCATGGAGCCTGGTTGCAGGGCTTGATCTCACCACCCTGAGATCATGACCTGAATTGCAATCAAGAGTCGGACACTTAAATGACTGAGCCATCTAGGCATCCTGGCTATAAGTTTTTGATAAAACAGTTTGGGAATATGCATCTGGAACCTCCAATATATTTCCTCTGATTCCAGTTGTAAAAATTAACCCTAGGAATGCCATCATACATGACTTCAAAGATCTTCATTTGTTTTTTAGTTAAAACCTTTTTTAAAGCCCTATCTTTTAACAATGAAGGGATGTTAAACAGTGATGCGTCCAAATGTTGCAATATCACACATTAATTAAAAAGGATTTAAAAAATATTGTGATCTATGGTCACCTAGAATTATGCTATGCCACCACTGAGGATAAGAGACTTTCCCTGCTACTCTAATCCAAAGACATCGTATTGGCTGGTACACTCCATTAATGCTATCACAGTGAAGGAAGGGTGCTGGGGCCTCTACCACAAGGAGGCACATATTTTTGAGGCAACAAATATGAGATTTGTGTGTTCTGCAATGGCCCACTTCACGGGTGAATGAAAAGCTATCAGGTTTGAGTGGGTTCAGAGCATGAGAAACCTCCTTTGCTGCTCTGGTACCATCAGCTGGGTCCTTCAGCCATTAAGACCTAGCAGATCTAGTGCCCCCAGGGCCTAGGGGCAGAT